TTTTTTTAGTTAAAACCAAACCAACCCAAATATAGTCGAGTTTTTTTTTCCAATACCAAACCAAGTCAAACCAAACCACTAGTTGGATTTTTTTTCCGGTTTGTGGTTTGGTTTGGCTTTCGGTTCTGTTTTGTACACCCCTAATTCCATACATCGTGAAGTAGACAAAACACATGACTTTGTTACCCTAAGCCGATTGTTCATCATTTTTATCAACAACTATATCATCACCTTCATATCCACAAAATATTTTATCACTACTTTGGTGTTCATGTAAAAAAATACGTAATACAACGCAAACAACTACTATAGAGGGTGATTTTGTAAAAGATAAAAGTTTGGTGTAAAATTTTAATTTTCAAAAGATCCCAAATAATGAGATTTGGCCCAAATACTAGAAAAAACTAGTATTTGGGAATTTGGGATATTTGCCAAATAATGACAAATTGTATGGACAAACACTATTTGCCAAATTTCCCCCCAAATATTATTTGGGAAATCTATGGCCAAACGGGCCCTAAATCATAGGTCACGTCTCGGAAAGCACCGACAAGCCAGATGCAGGAAAAATTGTACGTGTAGTTCTGGTCATCTCCTCGGTATATTGTATTAATATGTCTATTGAAAAAATAATAAATTCAATGCTTTGAAAACTATTTTGAAAAATAACTGTAATTAATAATAAGGATAAATTCAGAATTAAGTGATAAATTATTTCTTATCTTTCTGAACTTATCAAGTAAAATTAAAAAGTTATTTTTAATATATTGAATAAATAAAAGTGAACGATAAAATAATTCATATAAGGGTAGAGTAAGCTCCATGTTTTTGGTGACCTTGATACTTTTTGTCAACTTTTGTTCTAAGTGGGAAATAAAAACTAAGTGCATATTGTGACTATTACTTTATTGTTTGTTATCATGAAAGCGATTACTTCTTTTAATGAGTTAATTTCTTGTAATTAATAAAGTAGAAATCACTCCAAATTTATTTCAACTTAGAAAACACAAGAATGTACTTGATGAAGTACATACATTAAGTTTGTGATCATCATTTGATCAATTCAACTATACTTTAGAATGTACTTCATAATTCCATGCACCATATATCTTTGATATGCCCTCTTATTATCAAATCCTGACAATCATCATAAAATATACTTAATATTGGATAAAATTAAAAATATTTTAATTGAATTTTATATTTTATTACTTACTTTTTATAGTTAATATTAATAACTCCCTTGACAGCAATTGGATTAGCAATGATTGACATGGCTTCTTTAGTGAGAACCATGGTTACATCGCAACATGTAGAGCAATGATCAACAACTTTTACTACAACGCTCTTACCAGTGCAAGGTGGCAATAACAACAATAATAATAACAATTACGCCTTAATACCAAATAGATACATGAACATACCATGGCATTTTTGTTTAATAGAATTTAAATAGAGTAATAAATAGAAAGGAACATTAATAATTAAACTTACGAGGATATTTATCATTGGTATAATAGGTTGTCCCTGGTATAGCCAAAGCTATGGGGAAAAAGTTGCCACAAAACCAATATAATGAGAAAAAGAGTACTTTTAGTAAATATTGTCATTTTTTTTCTAAAACTTTTATTTATTTCTCTGATATATTTATCAATTTAACTAGTAATCAATACCTTTTTATAATGTGTTTATTGGCTAAAATTTGGTAACCAATTACGAGAATTAAGGCACTCCATTAATTATGTCTTTACTAGTTTTATTAATTATCCTTTGAATATATTAGATTTAATGATTTGAGAAATGTAATAAATATTGACTTGCATATGGTAGCAAGAGTACAATACACAAAAAAGAATAGACTGGCCTTCTTGGTCATAGTGGTTGACTAGTTGAGGAGTTTACTCCTGACCACTTGGTCAAGAGTTTAAGACTGGTAAATATAGAAAAAAAAAACAAATCTCTTGATTTTTCAAACTACACAAGTAATGTTGGATAACTATTTTTAGTATAGTAAAAAAGTAAAGATTGACTGAGAGAGTAATAAAAAACATTGACTAATAGTAGTCTCAACTAGAGTACACGGGCAAGCTCAAACACATTAATGGCCTAAAGCCAAAAATGAAGTGAAGATCTTAATTTTTATATTCAAAGTTTATTATTTTAATTTCTTAAGATGCAGAGTTGTTAATATATTTAAAATTATTTTTGAAATACAAATTATTTCTTTTGAATGAAAAGATTTCATTCATTTCAAGTCATATTTTTGACTCAAAATAAAAATAAAAACAAAAAGTTTTGAATCTTATAATCTTAATATAAGACTATTAAATGTGAATCAAGTACATGTGAATCATTAATCAATTCAACTTCACTATAGAGTATACTTCATTCCATGCTCCATCAATTTTTGATTGCCCTCTCATGAAACCTCGATAATCATAGAACAATGTACTCATGAGAGGCAGATGAATCAGTCAAACCTCGTTATAATAACATTAATTGAAAATTGTATATTGTTGTAAGGTGTTGTCATTGCGTTTATATATATGTATGATATATGATCTTACAAAATATTGTTATATCGTATTTGAGTATGATTTCTATAGAGAAATAATTTTAAAAGAGTGTACCACTATAATGAATGTCACTCTTGTTATAGGTATGTTAATATTATAAAAAAATGAAAACATAACATGACCACAAACGGCTATAGAGTGATTATATCAAATTCATTTGAACCCTACGTACGTAGAAGTTGATAATATAGTATTTATAAACCCATTAGTATAAAACTGTGTAAAAGTTTATAGAAGGCCAGATATGTAGCAATTAATCAACTATTTGTTTCAAATTAGAAAACACAAGAAGCATAAACTTTTTAAACAAATACTCATATGATTACTCAATAATATTTGTATATCTTTCATGTACATATATTAAGTTGTACACATACTTTATTCCATGCGTCATATATCTTTGATGTCATCTCATAATCAAATCCTGACAATCATCATAACAATATATTTAGTATCAAATAAAATCAAATATTTTAATTGAATTTTATATTATATTACTTACTTTTTGTAGTTGATGTTAATAACTTCCTTGACAGTGATAGGATTAGCAATGACTGAAATAGCTTCTTGAGTGAGAACCATGGTTACATCGCGACATGTAGAACAATGATCAACAACTTTTACTACAACACTTTTGCCAGTGCAAGGTGGCGAGTTACCGATACATGTGACATTTAATGAGTCTCCACATGTAATAGTACTTCCTAGGTACGCGATCCGTGCTATAAGGCTACCTGGTGGTGTGGGTATTGAACATTCTGATGCTACAATAACAATAGTAAAACAATTACGCCTCAATACCAAATAGTTATATTAATCCGCCATAACATTTTTGTCTAATAGAGTTTAAATTGAAAAAAATAAATTTAACTTACAAGGATATTGATCATTGGTATAATAAGCTGTCCCTGGTAAACCCAAAGCTATGGAGAACAAAGTTGCCACTACACAAATAATGAGAAGAAAAATACTTTTAGGAATTGCCATTTCTTTTTCTAAATTTAATATTTATTTTCCAATAATCACCACCTTTTTATAGGTGTCATCGGCAAAAATATGGCAAAATGTTAAGAAGATTTTGTTAATTAATTATTAATTATTACTCGAGATATGGTCAGCTAATAAATAATTTTGATTATTAGTCAAACATAGGGTATTCCCTATGGTATCTGAAATAAATAATTTTAATCCCTCACAATAGTTGAATTTTTCATTTAGTCAAACACATGATTATTTAGTAAATCATCTTATATTTGAATTTCTCATTAACAAAACTCCAATGTGAAATGAGTGGAGTGCACTAAACATATCAAAATTATACATCAAGAAGAAAAGGTTCAAATTTATTTATTTTACTTTTGGAATACTCCCAAAATTAATGGTGTAAGTACAGTGAAGGATGGTTTATTGACCATTTTTTCGATAAAAAAAATGATACTATACATACAGAAAATTATATGAAATATATAGATTACAAATTACTTTAGTAATCGTATATTAAATCTTAAATATTTTTTGAAAATTTTGACTTTATCATTATTCAAGTTGGTGTTCAAGGATAAAAAATGAGACTTTTTTTTTAACTATAAAAAGAAAAGTAAAGCCAAAGTATAACAAAGAACAATTATCCATCGGTAAGTAGATATGCGAGGTTGGTTGTAGGCTTGTAGCATTAGTTAAGAGAAATAAAGTTAGACTGAAAAAAAAATAGGTGAGATAATTAGACATGACATGATATAACTTAAACTAATTGAAGAACATAACCTAAATTAGATAGGAAAGACATGAAGATTGACAGTAAGATAGATTATCGAGAGTTATCGTATTTTTAGTAGTATGATTCATGTATCACATGTTTTCATTTTCTTCAATATATACTAATATTAATTGCTACACTTATTTTGTTATCTCTTTTCTATTTTTTACCTTTTTGCATTGGTTACATTTAATTTTTGAGTCAAGGATCTATCGAAAAGGATTTTCTTTTTTCATACTAAAAAACATAAAACTTGCGTACATTATATTCTTTCAAGACTTATATTATAATAAAAACAGTTTGATATACTAAAACTTTCGTTATATACAAAGTTCGAAGAAGGGTCCGATTACATTATTTTATATTATCGTAAGTGGCTGTTTTCATGATTTGAACTCGTAAAACCATAAACTATGGGCCATTATTAGTGGCATATCCCCTTAGCATCTCTCCTCATCCCTTCTTCCCAACAAACCGACAAACCATAGCTGATCCGATTGAACTTTGCTGATCTCTCTCTGTTTCTCACACAATAATCTTTCATTCTTCCCAATTCTTGAAAACACCCAAATCTGTGAAATCTTGAAAAAACGTCCAAATCCATGCCAATTCCGATTCAAAATCAAGAACCTAAACCGAAAAAGTTGATTTCCCTTTTCATAAAATGCGTAATCATGGCTTTATTCCTTTCCCTTTTCTTAATTTTCCTTCTTTTCCTTGGTTTCGCCGCGCTTGTACTCCTCCACTTCTTAATCACCTCCACCGCCTTCCACCGCCGTCATCGCCGTCGCCACCACCATCGATTTCCGGCGAACCAAACATCATCGTTTGATCTGCCTTGTGTTAGTTATTGTGTGTCACAGCAATCTGTTAGGGATTGTGCGATTTGCTTGGAGGGATTTAAGGATGGAGAATTTTGTAGGAAATTGCCTGATTGTGGACACCTTTTTCATGTGAAATGTGTGGATTCTTGGCTTATGAGGGTTCTGAATTGCCCGATTTGTCGGACCCGGGTTCGGGTAGATTCGGGCAATTCGGGTTCTGTTATCAGTGATGAAGATTGGAAGAGATGGTGGGCTGTTGGTGTTTCAGGGTAGCTGCTTTTTTCCTGAAAGTTCTGCATTTTGTGGTTGTAAGTTCTTGAAAAAAAATCCCTTTTTTATCTTTTTTTGATGCTTTGTTTATGTTGAGCATTGTAATGTATGGTCATTTTAGTTGATTAGCAATGGCATTATTGGCTAAATGATGATTGTAGCTAAGGATATGATGAAATTGTTCAATTAGGTTAGACAATTTTGTGGATGAACCTTTTTTGATAATCGTGCCAGCTTGTGCGTACCTCTGAGGGGTATCGGTAATTCTGTCCACCAAGGCTTGGAGGGAAAGGAAGAAATCACCTAGTGTTTTTGATTCATTGGCTGGGAAAAAGAATCATCTCACTTAAGCAAATGATTCAATATCGTAGTTGTACATAGTATTGTGTGTGCTTGCTCTGGTAGGATACTCTATCCATGTGTGAAAGCATTTTTGGATAGGCTGAGCAACATGGCTAGTTAGAAGTAGATGATGTTTCATTGACGGAGGTAAATTTTGTTATTATCATTTATCACTTAGGTAGTACCTTCGTCGCAAATGGTATGTCGTGTTTACCTCTTAGAGTGTCATAATAGAGCTATAAATGAGAAATATGTGTCATAAGAGTTTTAAACATACTACGCGGAGATACCAATCTTTGTCTGTGTTATGGAGTTAGCATGTTTTGAGTGGAATAGTCGAGGTGTATGCAAGCTACCTGAACACCATCTTATTAGGAGGAAGAATTTTGCACATGCTTTTCTGTGCAAATACTTGTGTTTTGAGATCATGTGAAGATGAGATGTGCAGATGTCCTAGTTAGGAGGTGAGAGATGTTGGCTGTTGTGGGCCTGAGGCTAAGTAGAGGTAGGTCTAAGAAGTATCGGGGTGAGGTGATTACTGATTAGGTCGGATATGATGTAGTTTCAGCTCATCGAGGACATGACCCTTGATAGAAAGGTGTGGAGGTCGAAGATTAGGGTAGAAGGTTAGTAGGAAGGCTAGTGTATTTCTTTCAATTCTTAGAGTATTAGTGTTCTTCTTCTTGTTGTTTTTCTTTATCTTTAGATTTCTATTACTACCTTATTTCATTGTTGTTTCTGCTGCCTCCTTTTCATCAACCGTTCAAATGAAGGTCTATTGAAAATAGTCTCTCTACTTTCTCAAGGTAGGAGTAAGGGCCGCATACACTCTACCCTCCTCATACCCCACATGCGGAATTACACTGGATTTTTTGTTGTTATTTGTGTTTTGTTTTGTTATCTAAATGGAATGTCTAGTTGATTGAAACATTTTGATTTACTCTAGGAATTGAACCAAGAAATCACAAAACAGGACACAAGGTAGTACAAGTTGGAGGAGCAAAAGATCTGCTGACATCAAGAGGAGAATGATGGACTTGGAAGTGCAAAGATTAACTTACCCCGTGAACTTATGGAGGTTTGCATCAATGACTTCTGATGTGAATTTCACTGCGTAAAACAACATGAACTGTAGTTTTCTTCCCAAATTAATGATTTGGAGATGATCATATGTATAAATATAAATGCGTACCCATTCTAGCGGGTTGCAAAACATAAATTTTTGCCTTAAAAACTGTGTATTGTACATTAATGAGTTTCGCACTTTTCCTTGAATGTGTAACTTTGTAATGCATAGTGTCTCTTAATTGAGTAATGCATCTCTGTTGTACAAATGTTTAGTGGGAGAAATGAACATTTAACTGTTCAAGCTTTTTGATCAACGGGCGTGAATGAATTTTCATATCGTTTCACCTAGATCATAGTTGGTTTATACAATCTAAGGTTCACCTAGTTATTAATTAATATCATATTAATAAGTGGCTGTAGCTAGAAGTAGACAATTTCAGGGTATTTTTGGAATTTCAATACTTTCTCTGTTTTAATTTAATTGGCTCTCCATATATTATTAGTAGCATAAATTGAGATCGATGAAATAACATATATTGGACCTTTACATTTCAGTTATCACATGATACATAGCATTTTGAGACTCAGGGAGCTGTGGGATTGTTTGGTGGTTGAGGGACATCTTGGTAAGCTTATCTTTATCCAAGTAAATTTTGGATACAAAAATATAATGGCAAGATTTTGTATGTAACATTTTTCTTGTCATAAAAAAACAAGAGGAAGAAGATTATTGTTGAACACATTTGTTGTTTTATCTAAAAATATTTAGAATCATCCGTAATAACCTAGAAAATCATACCCATAATCTCTAAAGAATCTATGCCATTCTTTTTAGCATTTAGGGGTCCCGAAACATGAATTTAGATTATTTTTTTAGTTCTTAATGTGTGTTAGCTCATGAATTTTGAAAAATATTACTGACTGGCTGTGTTTCGTTCAAACTTTTTTTTTAGAATTATCCATAATGACCTGGTGAACTATATTTATAGTCTCTACATGATCGATTCCATTTATAGTAGAATTTATAGGTCACAAAATAGAATTCAAAATTTCTTAATTTTTCGTGGGTAGTCGGTAGTCTATTGATCTGACGTCTTGGAGTACCCAATTTTTTTCTCTAAAAGAACTTTAGGAGGACATATGTAATGAGTTGGGGAAGCATTGCGTATAGGCCCATTATTTTAAAGGTATATTTTAGCATTAACGAGCCAATTTTTGGATAACCATTTTTTTTCCGTGTGTATTAACCCATGGATCTGGAGCCTCGGAGCACCAAATTATTTTTTTTGAATTTTTTTTATGAGAACCTCCGTAATGAATTGAAAAAACATTGTGTATAGTCCCACCATTTTAAGACATCATTTGCATTTATGAGTCAACTTTTAGGAATTAACTGTCTTTCTTGGTTTTACGTGTGTATTAGCTAATGGATCTAGCGTCTTGGAGCTTCCAATTTTTTTTTTTGAAGAAACTTAATGAGGACCTCCATAATGAGTTTGGGAAACATTGTGTATAGTCCCATTATTTTCGAGGCATTTTTCACATTTTCGAGCCAACTTTTAGAAATTAGCCGACTTAATTGGTGTTTGCGTATTAACCCATGAATCAGATTCCTTGGACCATCCAATTTTTTTTAAAAAAAAACTTTATGAGGACCTCTGTAATGAGTTGGTGAAGCATTGCGTATAGTTAGAGCTGTCAAAATGGGTTTGGCCCGCTAGGCCGGC